GCCACACCTTGTCGGCCTGGCGCAGGCAGTCGATGCGGCGGATCTTGCCCTTCTGGTCGGGGTTGGACAGGACGCAGCAGGGCGCCTTCTTGCCGGTGACGGAGAGGACGAAGTCCTCGCGGCACTCGGGCCGGATGGCCTTGCGCAGCTTGGCCAGGAGGCGCTGGCCAGGAGGCGCGAGGCCCATTTCTGCTTGACCTCGGGCTTCTCGCCCAGCAGCTCGTCCTTGACGGCGCGCTCCTCCTCCTTCGACATCCGCTTCTCGTGCTTCTTGAAGTACTTGCGCTTGCGGGCCTGCAGGTTGAACCAGGTGTAGGAGAAGGCCCGGACGTGGGGCAGCAGCGCCTCGATGAAGGGGTGGAACTCATCCTGTGGGGCAGGAGGGCGTCAGGATTGGGGGGAAGCAACCCCTGTGGGGCGGACACAGCCCCCAGGGGACCCCTGTGCCATGCAGAGGACCCCCGTCCTGCAGAGGGGGGAGCTCCTGGGGGACCCCTGTGTCATGCAGGGGACCTCCATCCTTGATACAGAGCTCCCAGGGACCCTTGTCCCACACAGGGAGCTCTCACGGGACCCTCGTGCCACATGGGAGACCCTCATCCTGCAGAGGAGACCCCCATTCTGTGCAGAGGGGAGCTCCCAGGGGACCTCCATCCTTGACACAGAGCTCCCAGGGACCCTTGTCCCACACAGGGAGCTCCCAGGGGACCCCCGTGCCATGCAGGGAACTCCCACCCTGCGGACCCCCATCCACCGCAGGGGACCCCCATCTTGCAAAGGGGGGAGCTCATGGCCCTCATCCTGCAGAGGAGACCCCCATTCTGTGCAGAGGGGAGCTCCCAGGGGACCTCCATCCTTGACACAGAGCTCCCAGGGACCCTTGTCCCACACAGGGAGCTCCCAGGGGACCCCCGTGCCATGCAGGGAACTCCCACCCTGCGGACCCCCATCCACCGCAGGGGACTCCCATCTTGCAAAGGGGGGAGCTCATGGAGGACGCCCATCCCATGCCGGGGACCCCTGTCTTGCACAGCGAGCTCCCAGGGGACCCCCAACCTGCAGAGTCGACCCCCATCCTTTATATGGAGCACCTGGGGGATCCCCACTCCACACAAGGGATCCCCATCCCGTGCAGGGAGGAGCTCCCAGGGGACCCCCATTCTGCACAGGGAGCTCCCCTGTCCTGTAAAGGGGACCCTGGTCCCACAAAGGGGACCCAAACCCTGCACAGGGAGCTCCCCGGGGACCCCCGCCCTGCACAGGGGACCCCCGTCCTGCAGAGGGGGGAGCAGCCCTCGGCACGGCCCCG